GATGGATGGATGGATGGATGGATGGATGGATGGATGGATGGATGGATGGATGGATGGATGGATGGATATTATAGGGAGATGATAGAGAGATGATAGGTAGGTAGGTAGGTAGATAAGCAGACAGACAGACAGACAGACAGAAGCATTCTGTGCAGAGGTTGCTCATACTAATATCACTACATACACCATACAGGATTATGACACTGAGCTAACTTGTGACAAAACTCTCCCAGGCTTCTCTCACTTGGGGAAAATGTGAAGTTCAATTCATCACATTCAATTCATCACATCCACAGGTCCATGATACATGGAAAATAATTGGGGGACTTCTCTTCAGTTGAGATATTCTCATATTAGAGCAATGGTTGACTTTTATTTTTATTTCATTTATTCAATTTATATAGTCATTTATAACTCTGGGTGGCTTACAGAGAAAGCATTAGCAGTACCAAAACAATAATAGCCAAACCTCTAAGCATAATCTTTGAAAAATCTTTCAGGACCAGCTCCTTGCCTAACCTATGGTCACAAGCCACAGTCATCCCCATCTTCAAAAAGGGAGACCCAAGCCTAGTTGAAAATTACAGACCAATCTCCTTATGCTGCGTCACCTGTAAAGTCATGGAATCAATTATTAACCAATCCATCATCCTCCACTTAGAGACAAACAACCTACTCTCCAATAAACAATTTGGTTTCAGAAAAAAACTATCCTGTAATCTGCAACTCTTACACTGCAAAAACATATGGATGACACAACTCGACCAGGGCAAAGCAATAGATGCAATCTACATAGACTTCTGTAAAGCCTTTGATTCAGTGGTACACGACAAACTACTCCTAAAAATAAAATCCTATGGTATCTCTGGACAACTGAATAACTGGATAGAAGCATTCCTGGCAAACAGACAACAAATGGTCAAAATTGGGAGAGTCCTATCAAATTCTGTACCTGTCAATAGTGGTGTCCCCCAAGGCAGTGTTCTAGGACCAACTCTCTTCATACTCTACATAAATGACCTCTGTGATCATATTAAGAGCAATTGCGTTCTTTTCGCTGATGATGTAAAGCTGTTCAATACCACAGACAATACTGCTACCCTACAAAAAGATCTTGACTATGTATCAGAATGGTCAAACAAATGGCAACTTCAAATCTCAACAAATAAATGCTCTGTCTTACATATTGGCAAAAAAAATCAGAAAATAAAATACAAGCTGAATAGTCAAGATCTTGTTGATGACCCAAGCTCTGTAAAGGACCTTGGAATACTCACCTCTAATGATCTAAGTGCTAGAGCCCACTGCAACTACATAGCCAAAAAGGCATTAAGAGTTGTTAACCTAATCCTACGTAGCTTTTTCTCTGGTAATATCACACTACTAACCAGAGCATACAAAACATTTGCTAGACCAATACTCTAATACAGTTCATCAGTCTGGAACCCACATTACGTATCTGATATTAGCACAATTGAGAAAGTCCAGAAATATTTCACTAGAAGAGTTCTTCACTCCTCTACTCGTTGTAGAATACCTTATGCCACCAGACTTGAAATTCTAGAACTAGAAAACCTTGAATTACGCCGTCTTCGGTCTGACTTAAGCATGGTATATAAAATCATACATTGCAATGTCCTACCTGTCAATGAATACTTCAGCTTCAACCATAACAACACAAGAGCACACAATAGATACAAACTCAAAGTTAACCGCACCAAACTTGATTGCAGGAAATACGACTTCAGCAATAGAGTGGTCAATGTCTGGAATACTCTACCCGACTCTGTAGTTTCTTCCCCAAACCCCAAAAACTTTAACCTTAGACTGTCTACTATTGACCTCACCCCTTTCCTAAGAGGTCTGTAGGGGGCGTGCATAAGCGCACCAACGTGCCTACCATCCCTGTCCTATTGTTTCTCTTATTCTTCTTTTATTTTTCTTATATGTACCCATTTCATGTATTCACAACTATGTATACACTTATACTTATTATCTTGTAAACAATTGGCAAATCAAATAAATAAATAAATATAAATAAATAAAAATATACAGCAAACAACAGAAACATTAACTTTTAAACAAGGAGAAACCATTCAATAAAGTGACCAGGAGAGCACAGACATTCAAGAAGAGTCTAACCATTTTATGGACTCCTTATTCCCACGCTAAATGGCAAAGCCATTTCTTCAAGGCTTTCCAGAAAGTGAACAAGAAGCCAGCCTGACTTTCAGGCAGAACAATATTCTGTACAGTGGGCACAGCAGCAGAAAAGGCCTCCTCCCGGCTTCCATCAGGTAACATTTCCTACTGCAGAGTTCCCCAATCTTTCTGGGTTGGTGGCCTGGAGGGGGAAGGGGCAGGCACCTTTAGGCGTGCATGCACATGTGCAAATGGGGCTGCAAGCATGTGTATGATGCAAACAGGGCCATAAGCATGCATGTGTGATGCAAACAGAGCTGCTAGCACCCACGTAACACTCATGGTGATGTTAGTGACCCGCAATGATCGCAGCAATGCTAGTGTGAGTGTGGGGTATGAGTGCATGCATAGACAAGCGCACTGGCCATCC